CTGCATTCTGGATCTGCAGACACCTTGATGGCCAGTCACCCCAGTCTAAGCGTAATTTTGTTGGTCATCAGGTATCTATCATCGTCTTATATATATATATATATCCTCTATGTTACACGATAAAGACAATAAAAGAAGGGGAGGGAAGAGCTACTAGCCCCGAGTCTGCGCACATGGGCGACTCCCTTTAGAAACGGCGCTGCCAAATACATCATGATATTATAGTACAAGTTTCGAGTCAACTCCCCAGCGCCAGGGCGTTCCCATTTTTACCGTAACCAACCAAGGGGCCTGAGCTGAATGATTCCTCTCCTTTTCATGTCCCGTCGTAAGCTTTTTCTTCTCATCTTGCCATTGCCAGTTCACCCCATTTACTCAACGATGCGGGTAACGAGACCAGTGGCAACGGTGCGACCGCCTTCTCTGATGGTAACACGCATACCTTGCTCAATGGCAACGGGGTGGTGGATCTCGGCAAGCATCTCGACGTTGTCACCGGGCATGACCATCTTGGAGTCGGCATCCGGGGTGCCCTCGGGGAACATGAGAACGCAGGCCTCATCGGCGGAGCGGATGAACATCTGGGGGCGGTAGTGCTGGTGGAAACCGCTGTGGCGACCACCTTCCTCCTTGCTGAGGACGTAGAGGGACAGAAGGAACTTCTTGTGGGCCTTGACGGTGCCGGGCTTGCAGACGACCATGCCACGCTTGATGTCCTCACGCTTGACACCACGGAGGAGCAGACCGGAGTTGTCACCGGCACGGGACTCCTCGCAGGACTTCTTGAAGGTCTCGATATCGGTGACCTTGGTCTTGATGATCTGATCGGACTTGCCAACGAGCTCAACATCGGCATCCCTCTTCAGGGTACCGCGCTCGACACGGCCAGAGACGACGGTACCACGGCCGGCGATGGAGAAGACGTCCTCGATGGAGAGGAGGAAGGGCTTGTCGGTGTCACGCTCGGGGGTGGGGATCCACTCATCGACAGCCTTCATGAGCTCGTCGATCTTGGACTCACCAATCTCGGGGCGGCGGGACTCGAGGGCGCAAAGGGCGGAACCGAGAACGACGGGGGTGTTGTCACCGTCGAAGCCGTAGGAAGAGAGAAGCTCACGCATCTCCATCTCGACGAGCTCCAACATCTCGGGGTCCTCAAGGGCATCGACCTTGTTGACGAAAACGACGATCTTCTGGACACCCATCTGACGGGCGAGGAGCAAGTGCTCACGGGTCTGGGGCATCTGACCATCGGAGGCGGCGACAACAATGATAGCACCGTCCATGGAGGCGGCACCAGTAATCATGTTCTTGATGTAATCGGCGTGACCAGGGCAGTCGACGTGGGAGTAGTGGCGGTTCTCGGTCGAGTACTCGATGTGGGCAGTGGCGATAGTGATACCACGCTTGCGCTCCTCCGGGGCCTTGTCGATAGAGCCATAGTCGAGGAAGTTGGCCATGCCCTTCTCGGCCTGTCTCTTGGTGATGGCAGCGGAAAGGGTGGTCTGTACGTGAGGGGTTTCAGTTAGCCGGAGTTGTCGCAAGCGCAGCGCAGAGGCGGGGGTAAGGAGGAGGCCAAGCGGACCTTTCCATGATCGACGTGGCCGATGGTACCTGACGAGAGAGATATTCGTTAGTGAAGATCTCAAGGGGTTGGTTTATCTTCAAGTAATGTTATGGTCGCAGCATACCAATGTTGACGTGAGGCTTGGTGCGCTCATAGACAGCGTACGACCGGGCGAAGTTGAGGATGGGAGACCGGGTGGTGCGCTGGAGATTGACGAGCGGGGAGGCAGACTGCCTGAGAGAAGCCGCCCTGAAGAAGGGGGCAATTGTTCGGAGAAGGGCAGGCATCTTGACAATCTGGAGACTCGCTCACGAAAACAATGAAGAATCGAAGGAGCGGCGGGGTTGGGGGTGGGTCGACAACAAAAAGCTGTTGAAGAGAAACTGCTGCTCGAGAAACGAAGATTGAAAATTTGGCTCAACCAGAAATTTGGGGCTCCTCGAGCCGCTAGGGACCGTTCCGATCAAGCTGCACTGACCGCTGGGCGACTCGTGCTGCTACTTGTGCGTTAAAAAAGCCGCTTGGCACCACGTGCGAACGTGCTGAAGAAACGCGAACCTTTCCGATTTCTGATGAACCTCGAATTCGCGTTCCATCCAAAACATTTTCGGCAGAGCTTTTGAGGGGTAAAAAGTATTTATATCTTTGCTTCTCGGATCTCTTCATTTATTATGATTTTGACTCACATGTTATCTCTCGCTATGAAGTTAATGCTCACAAATCTCTCTTCAAATATGGTTCTGGCATAAAAGCGTCGGCACTTCGTCTCGTCTCCTTAACCAAGCTTGTATGAAGCCCGTCAGCATCATCCCATGTCTAATTCCAAACCTCGACCCCTTCGTCGGAACGGGTGGTCAAAACAAAGTACCAATGCTCCAGAGTAAGAACGGTCCAACCAAGATCTTTCTGGATTTTAACAACAGGCACATTTTCTCACGGCGAATATTTATTTGGTCAGTCTGTCGAAATGGATCGTTTCACCAATCTACTGCTCGTCACCTCTCGACCTAGGAATATCACCACTCTCGCCTGAGATTGGATGTCTCCCTCCGCCATCATGGAAACTCTAAATATTCATTTCTTCGAAGGTCATATCCAACAGTTTTGCACTTCATAGATATCACTGTCGACTGGGAGAGGTCATAAGGACTATCAATTGAAGGTGCTCGAGTCTGACGAAATGGAGAGCAGCTGCCTGACCAAAGAATTGACTTGTTTCACTCCGTCTCAATTAAGTGTGGCTTCTTCCGATATTGAGCACCCCCTCGATATGGTGAGGGATCCTTGTCATCGAGTCCGGGCGCTTTGAGGTCATGATATTCCGACTGCGGCTTCACATCAGGAGCCGTTGTCATACGATGGCGGCGATTTCTAGTTCACTCTTCCTGGTTGAACTGAGCTCAAGATTTTGGCTCTGCCCCTTCAGCGCCACGATTTGAAACCCAGATGCAACTTTCTGCTCTCATTTTCGACTGCATCGGATTGCCCTTTTGTCTCATCATTTCCCTAATCAACAATTGACATCGACAACATCATCGAGAGATATAGAATCTCAACCTTCTTGGTATGCGTCTTCGGCTTCTGCAAGTACGCACCTGACGGCATATGCATATATACTCAGCACAAACAGAGGAATACTCCGTGTCTTTCGACTGTAGGCAGTTATCCAGTGTCGCTATTCGCAGCTTTGGTCCCTTGACCGGAAACTGACTCGACCAGCCATTTCCTCCTGCCCAATCTCATTCCTAGACCAGCATTGCTTTGACACTTCGGGACACAACAAGAACCGGATCATGAGATTCGCTTCCAAAGTCTTTGTTGAGTATTCTTATAGCAGTCTTGGTCCCGTTTCACTACTTGCGATGTATCCATGTCAAGCAGCTTCGATGTCGAGGCCATCTTTGTGGTTGAAACGAGGCTATTCTCGTACAATGCTATTCCACGAGTCACTCGTTTTCTTCTGTATAAGTACCAGACTCGGCCAGATTTATACGTCCTCTTGTTCCTCAGGCTTTCCTCATCTTTTCCCCCCATGAGCTGTGCTCGTTAATTTTAGCTGCCTTTTGTGACCCCTGAGGAGGTCTCGCTCTCTCTCTATTCATCGCTCCTAATCTTCATTCTACGTTCGCTCTGTCGTTCGTCGCCAGTCACCTTTTTATCCGTACCTATTCCAACTTCTTATTTTAATCCATCTTTCAGACAAGACGCATCATAAACAAGACAAAATGGTCAACTACCGGCTTTTTGCTTTTGCCGGCCTCGTAGCCGCGCTCCCACTGAATATCAACCTCGGTGCCTACTCACCTGCTCTAGTAGTTGGTACGTAGAAGACTGACACTCCTAGTTTGTATACCAAGAGAGACTAACACAGGAGGCCAATAGGTGATGGTGAGATCAGCTTTGGTGGAAAACAGGACGTATCAAACCTGATGAACGCCCTCGAAGGTGCCGCGGTCGACGCAGCATCCGGTGCCGCCGGTTCTTCCCACCCCCTTCCTGCTGCGCCAGCAAGCGAAGTCTCTTCCCCTACTTCTGTCGAGGCTGCGGCAGCGCCAGCAGCAGACCCAGCCCTCAGCCAACAAGCCGCACAGATCGCCGCCCTCCAGGGCATGGGCAAGAAGCAAATTGCTCCCAGAGACCTCGCTGGTTTCGACCGGGCACTCACCTATTCTGAGGCTGCTCTGGTCAAGGGCCCCAAGGTTGAGCTCGGAACCGGCGCTGAGGGTGCTGGTGTTGGTATCATTGTTGATAACAACGCTGCTCGTACGTCTGAGCCCTGATGATCGTTTTCGAAACCAACCTTACTGACAATTGCCATATCAATAGAAGCCAAGAAGAAGCGTGACGTCGCTGCCGCCGACGAGTCCGATGCCGACTCTTCCCCAAGGCGTCGGTCCAAGGTCACCACTCTCTACGTGCGCCGTGGTGTCCCCGCTGCTCTCCAGGGCAACCCTGAGGAGGAGGAGGATATCACTGCCTCGGTCATGAACACCGCTCCCCCCGCCCCAGCAGCACCAGCACAAGAAGCAGCTGCCGAACCAACTGTGGCCAAGCGCGATGCCGGTCTCGACGCTGTCAACCTGAATGTGGATGGTGACGCAGGCGTTACCATGACGTTTGTGGAAACGTTTGATGACGACGATGACGAGTGAACCTTGAACTTCTGATTGTTATTTGCTAATATTGGGATTAATGATTCGGAGTTTCTTTCGGAGTTTTAGGAGCGATATACCTATATAGTTAAATTCTTACTTTCTTCTACCAGATTTGCTCTCTTTCCTTCTTCCTGATCTCTCTCATGCATGTCGTTGAGTTTCTGGTTCACCCCAAACCCTACCACCTCCACTTTCACATCTCCACACCACCACAACCACAAAAACCTCTACTTCAACCCCGATTCCTTGCCGCTTTTTCAACAATTACAATCTTTCAAGGTCCGCTGGCGTAATGGCAGCGCGTCTGACTACGAATAAGTACATCAGGAGGTTCCAGGTTCGACCCCTGGGCGGATCGTTTTGCTTGAGCTACTTGAAACTGCTTGTAGCAGTTTAAGGCTCGGAGATATTCTATCATCAAGCCTGTCGACGCAGTTTTTTGCGTTTTTGCAGTTGGAAGGAGACGGCTTCTTTTTGTAATCTCACACAACATGATATCCTCATATATCCAAAGACATTTATTAGCCAATTGAACGATGTAAGACTGTTTTATTCTTGTGAGTTGTTTCAATTAGTGATTCGGAGACTTGGGGTTAGGTGCATATGTGTGGGTCTTCAATGGCAATTCGAGGATTCCCAGCACACCGTCAGTCCGTCTTTCTCTTTTTCTAGCAACCACGAGAGGTCTGAATCGGTTATAGGATCGCGGTCTTACCCTCTATTTCCTCTCAACGATCGTTAAAATACCTCGATAGCATTAGCTGTGTATTTGACTCGCTTGTGTTGCCTGTATCACCACCAAATAGAAAGGAGTGCGAAGAGCGGAGCTCTTGGTCAGCAGTGCTGCACTCTCACTCCCTCGATATCGCCGAAGTGATAGTCCCGCCGAGTCACATCGACTACCAACATAAGAAGTCACAACTGCTATAAATAAATATACGAGAACACAAGCCTTTACATTTGTCTGAAGAATTTCCTCCCAAAATGGCCGAAGGCGACGAGTGGCACGGCCTCGAGCAACCCGTGCAAGACCCCGAAGAACTTCGAGTCATGAACAGCGCCGTTGACTCCTTCCAGTGAGTGAGCAACTCACCACTCACCACCCACTCCCCCTTTAGGTCATTCATCACCAAAAAATATACTGATTTCCCCCAATAATAGACAATATGCCCGGGTCGCCCACTACCAAGTAACCCACATGCGCCGGCAGACCTTCTACGCCCTGCCCCGGGCGCAGTGGGAAATGCTGGCCGCCCCCCCCTTCAACTACCTAGACACGCTCACCAAAGTCGACGAAGCCATCGACTCCAACGCAGAGCTCGCCCGGGCCATCTTCCAGTGCGGCCTCGACGCTTTTGGCCTGGGCGTCCCCGACGAAGTTACGGGAGAACTCAAACTGCCAAAGCAGTGGAACGGCTTCTCCAAGCACCACGACATCGACAAGGCCCGCAGCACCCTCCGCCAGTTCTACCGCGACTGGACTGCTGAGGGCGCCAGCGAGCGCGCTGCCTGCTATGGTCCCGTCATGAAGGCAATTGCTTCCGAAAAGAAGAATCTGCAACCGGGAAAAAGGCTCAACGTCCTCGTACCCGGCGCCGGTCTCGGGCGGCTGGTATTTGAGCTCCTGCTCGCCGGGTGCGATGTCCAAGGCAACGAAATTTCCTACCACCAGCTCTTGGCTTCGTCGTTTATCCTCAACCGCTGTGAGAGGGCAGAGCAGTTCACCATCTACCCCTGGGTGCACACATTCTCCAACCACCACTCGAGAGAAAATCAGCTGAGGGGGTACAAAGTCCCCGACGTGCACTGCGCTACGGAGACCATGCGAGCAGGAGAGCTCGGGGAGATGAGCATGACCGCTGCTGATTTTCTGTGCGAGTACACGAAACCGGACAATGCGTCGACATTTGACGTGGTGGCTACGGTGTTCTTCCTAGACACGGCGCCGAATCTTGTACGCTACTTGGAGTGTATCTACTCTTGTCTCAAACCAGGGGGGATTTTGGTCAATATTGGGCCTTTGTTGTGGCACTTTGAAGGACAAGTTCCAGGTTCTAAACAAGTGGACGATGACGAAGGGGATACAGTAGCGGAAATGTCGGGGATCGCAGAGCCAGGCAGCTTTGAGCTAACAGATGACGAGGTGATGCAGCTGGTGACAAAGTGCGGGTTTGTGGTTGAGTCGAGGGAGCAAAATCTTGAGGCACCGTATATACACGATGCGCAGTCAATGCTGCAGACGAAATATCTGGCTAGTACATGGGTTGCTAGGAAACCTGCTACTGCTGCTTCATAGAGCGCGTGTGGAATATACTTTGTTTCAAGCAAACATGCTAAATTGCTACCCTGGCACCTGATCATGATGGCGTGGACATGAATAAGAATTGTTCATTTTTTACCAGTCAGCATGCTGAGCTATACCCAAAAGCTGCCACTGATGCTTAGTAGGGTGTGGAGGCTAGACTGAATCACCATGAATAACGGGGGGTTTGTTCAGAATCACTATTTCAGGAGGCTTTTCCATGGAGGCCTGTAAGGCTGCCAAGGTACTAGGTTGGTGACCTACATGTAGATGTGAAGCCAACATATATGGGGTTTATGAAATCTGTCGAGAAGAAAGTAAAGGGGGTGTGAGAAGCCTTAGGAAGGGAAGATGTTGATGCCTTCTAGGTGCCAGTTCAAGAGAGCAAGAGCATGATGGATGAGTCAGCGGACATGATGTTTGTGATCGCAGTTCACGTAAGCCATTAGAACGGTTGTAGGTGTTGTCAGAATTCTGCTGATGATGATGGTATTCTGGGAAAAGTGACTTAATCATGGCCGTTGGCGGCTCTGGACTGGAGCCAGTGCCGGCGGCCGCCGCCGCTTCGGTTCCGGGCCGGCTGGCCACGGTGAAGTGCAGGCACCGAAAGCTGGATTGGGGGTCGGGCTGGTGGGATGTGATATCCTCTTGACCAATCCGGACGCTAATCGAATTATTTCCAACATAGCATGAGATTCGTCATTCTCACTAATATGTAAGTCTTGTCGGGACGAAGCCGAAGGGTGCATCACAAGTTGTCGTTGATAGTAACGCTGACAAACCTGTCATTTGTCTGCCAAGAGATATGGCTGCAATTGTGCAACGCCAACATTGGATTGCACACTCGCACATCAGAAATGCACTTTTGAAAGCAAAGCTGAAATGCTGCAGCTGAAGTCTGTGGGGAAAGCAGAGTGGGAGGGCGTTTGACACCTTTTGCGGCTCTGTCATGTTTCGTGCTGGACGAAATGGCATATGCTGCGGTTGTGATAACACCCAAAGGTTATCCCGACCGTCGGGGAGGTATGCCAATTTAGCAGTGCCGGAGGAGTTGCATGCCCTGCCCCAGTCTCCTTTCTGAAAGATGGAGATTCGCCATTCAGTGGTTCCATCTCCACGATGTACATCGCTATCTCCGCCGGAACAAAACACTTTCCGCCGTGTCCGAGGGAAAATACGGCTTGAATAGGACACATTTCGAAGCGAGAATAAGGGATGTCGCGTGCCCCCGGTCATATAGCTGAGTGGTTTTTTTTTTATCAGATCTGTTGATGATCTAATCTCAACAATCTTGACAAAACAAATTGGCGCTATGGCACCCACGGCACCGAACTCTGTCTCAAGGACACGGTGGGGCCGATTGATAATATCTGATTGATTAGATATGGCCCAAGGCGTCATTTTTACAACACAGTGTGCGCGCTTACTGTGCTGGTTCCCCACAGTTGGGATTAGGTGCTTGCAGGGCCTGTGGTCAAGAAACTCTGGGAAAAGAGGTCTTGCCGAAGTTCGGAGGTGCCCCCTTGAAAGGGAAGACCTAGTTAGAAACCACCAAACCTTCCGCACTTCTGCAGGACCAGGCACGGCATTCTGTGGTCACATTCCCCGGGCTAAACTACTCCGCCAACTATCCACTCTCTTCTGCCGTGAAAGCTCGTCGAGAGTCTGGGGAGTGTTGACATCGACTGTGGGTGACGGCCTTGGCTTCTGAAGTTCTGGAGAACGGCGGGCTTGGCTATGAAAAGAGGTGGCAACCTGTCTGCCTTACTGGGAAAGCCACCTCAGTCACCCGATCTTCTGGCGATGTCAATGCTGCCTGTTTGGGAGAACCGCTGCTGTACGCTTTCCTGCGTATAAAAACTCCAGGGGCGGCGCAGAATGCGGTGAGCAAAAAGGTGTGGTCTGTTGATGACATGATGTAAAATTGACCTGATTCGAGGTGTCCCGACCCTCCGGACGCTGCTGCTGGCGCTGTCTGATGGATGGACTGACGGGTGACATGCTCGGGAGTCCAGCTCGTTCAAACAGGGGTAAGAAACCCCAGGCTCACCGCGTCGGTACTCCAGACACGTGCCGAGGTGAATTCACGCAGTGTTTTAAAGCAGAGCGGAACCACAGGGCTGGCTACCTAGCTGGGACCTGAAGATGAAGGGTTCGTGGGTGAAAGGTTGCACACCTGCACAGCAGCTAGAAGAAGCTGATGAGTGGCATGATTGCGCCCTCACGGTGCATGTTCAATATAAAATTCTGGTGGGCGATACCGGGTGTTGATGTCAGACTTCCCGAAGAAAAGAACCGGGAACAGGCTCAAAGACCAATCAACAGGGTGAATTGAAGGGGATCTTCCGATTCGGATTTTGCTGGATTCTCTCTGTCGATGTCTGCCATTTCTCACCGGAGAAACACGGTAATGGACTGAATTAGGGGGTCCACAATTGACTTTCCAAAGAGGAAAAGGATGAAAATTACCGCGCACTGTGGTACTGTTCCGCTTGCCCCCCATCATCACTCAAAGTGGGAACTTGAATTGGCTTGGGAGGCGGCAGCTCAGCAAGCACGCCTGTATCGCTTTCCTTGGGGCTGCACAATGACAAGGAGGTTCATAGTTTATTAAAGATCGCCTGCCCAGCTCCTGTCTGGCTTTTCTTTCTTCAATTTCCAAAGTTTATGCCTCGATTTTACACAAACGCTAGTATTCTTATTCACCCTTCCGAGGCCATTTCGTCTCTTTGGGATTTTGGAGACTCGAAACCATAAGCCGACTCTACTACCGACACCTACCTTGTCCTCGGCCCACAGATCATTCAGAATACGGTCTCGATTTTCTGCAAAATTCGGTCATGCGCTCAAGCTTTTGACTCTCTCCCCTGTCTCCCGGAACTCTCGAACTCCTATTCCCTCCATTCCGCATCCCACAACCTTTGCCGGCGCTGCATTTTCTCTCGTAGGGAAGCCAGGACCGCTACCCTCGAAAACAAGAACAATGGCGACGCAGATCGACGTGCTCCTTGCTGAGCGTGCTGCCAACAGCATTCCGGAGGAGCCCCAGCCGGCAC